ATTCTTTTAGGGCTCTGAAGCGTTCTTCTCTTGAGGGAGTGCCTTCTGCGGGTGTCCCCGCTGCTGCAGCTGGCGCCGCTTTAGCGGGTGGCCCCGCTGAGCCCTTGTCCCCCTTACCTTTGGCGACTGCCTCTGCCCGCGCCGACCTCATTCCAGCCTCGGGCTTCGGTTGTGCTTTCATTCGTGCCGAGCCTGGTCGTGGTGCAAGGCGCGGCTGATGCAGAGTTGGAGTCCAGTCACCTCGGAAGGCTGCCTTAGGCTGGTCGCGAACTTCGTCCTTGACATCGCCTTGGGCAGCCGGTGGCATCGGGGCTGATGGTCCAGCAAAAGCCTTCCTCCTCTCCGTCACGGACGGGCCGGTTGGCTCTCCCTGCTCAGGGTCGTCCTTCTTGGCGATCCCTCTGGCCTTCGCACGCCCCCGTGTACCTTCGGGGCTCTTAGAGAAAAACAAAAAAAAAAAAAAACTCAAAAGAAAAAAAAAAAAAAAAGAAAAAAAAAAAAAAAACAGAAAAAAAAAAAAAAAAAAAAAAAAAGAAAAGAAAAAAAAAAAAAGAGAAAAAAAAAAGAAAAAAAAAAAAAAAAAAAAAAAAGAAAAAAAAAGAAAGACAGGTGAGGTGCGGAACCCTATGCCTGCATCAAATTGTTATACACGTAGGAGTTCGGCTTCATGTCGTTTCGGGCGTTTGTTGCCTCGTCTGGTTGTGGACCAGGAGGGTCTTTAGGAGGGCCTTCTGGCTGGCCATGATCATGGATGATCTGCCTCATCTGGTCGATGTCGGCAGTGCCTTTTATGGCCAGCTTGTATTTGCCATTTTCGTGGCGGTGAATTACCCTCGTGCAAAACCACTTCTGCGCCGAGGAGCTGCAGTACCAGCAGGCGCATCCATCAGGGAATGGATTCTCTGAGCCGTCTTCCGCCGCCCATTCTTCATTCAGTTCGGTCTGGTCAGTGCCGGCGGCGGATCCGGCAGCAGATGCAACAGCCATCCACTCTTCGTCCGCGGACCCAGCGGCTGGCGCCGCGCCCGCGGGTGGCCCCGCACCTCCGCTGGAGTCTGCGGGCGACCCCGCCTCTTCATGGAATCGGCGGTTCCATTCTTTGAGGCGATGGTCTTTAGGAAGCTGTTCCCAATTTTCCCTGACAGCGTCAGCAACCTCCTCGGTCATAGGGGCGCGATCGGCTTCGGTAATGCGCTTTCCTCCTCCAGGGACCTTCTTGTTAGGATCGTGGACGGTGCCAGCGTCATCTCCATGAGACCAGTTCCAGGGGGTCTCACCGTGATGAGGGCTCCTGGAGGGGCGGTCCATTGGACAGCCGCGCATGCGACCTTTGAAAGGCTCGCATTGACATACTTGTTTCCTGTATGTCTTGCGATCGTTGATGATCTCCTGTTTCTTAGCCTTTCGGTCCCAAGCCTCTGGCGTTTAGTCTTGCCACCTTTGGTGCGTATTATGATGCCAGATTCGTCCCGTTTGCAGTGCTCCTTGGACCACCAGTGGCGGATCACGTCCATCGAGTAGCCGGGGTACCAATTGATGTACCACTCCGGCACGTACTGAGCGGATACACCTACGGAGTGCTCCGTGCTGTACGGGTAGCCAGATGCATCATGTGTAGGGCGTCGTGGAGCTGAACGGCTCCTCCTGCGGGTTGGCCCCGCTGACGCACTGCCACGTTCCATGGGCCTTTCATCCTCATGGCGGTGCTCTGGGTCTCGGGGTGGCGATGGTCGTCTGTTCTTCTTTGCATGGCGCCTGTCCTCCGAGTCCTCTGAGCTGTCCTGGACCATGAATACGTGCTGATGCGGGCGTTGGAAGTACCCGATGTCGGTCAGCTGCTCCATAGTGAGGTCATTGAGGTCCATCTGGTCGCAGCCCTGCAGGAATTCGTCCATAGACCAAGCGGGTGGCCCCGCTGCTGCAGCTGGCGCCGCTTCGGCGGGTGGCCCCGCTAGAGCCTGGAGTGCAGTCAGCATCTGAGGTGCCGACATATCAGGATCCAGGTATGGACGCAGCCTTGCGGCCCCTGGGCGCGACAGCAGGTCGTTCATGGTCATCTGCTGATGTGCTGGCGCACTCAGGAGCTGGATCGCTTCTGCGACCTGCTCTTGGAGCCTGTCCTCAGTCCTCTTCGGCCTCTTCAGAGTCAGAATAAGCTGCGGGATGGCCCCGCATTTCGTCGTCAGCGTCTCCCGCTTCCGAGCCGGCTCGCGAAAGATCAGGCAGCAACGGCATGCCGATCACCTGCGGTGCCAGCGCGGCGGCGAGCTCCTCCTCGGTCGCCGGGGCGGTTTCAGCTTCGGAGATCTCGTCGTCGGCGGGTGGCCCCGCTGGAAGACCGAACCAAGCGTTGAACACGCCCTCGTCGACTTCGTCCCAGCCGTGGAACTCGTCGAAGAGGGTCACCGCGTACTCTTCCAGGGCTACGGTCGCATCAGCGTAGCGGGCCATCACGTAGTACGTGGAGGAGCCCGCGGCGGGAGCCGCTTCTGGATTGACGTAAAACTCGGAGTCAATGTAGTCTATGTCATCCATAAAAGAGTTTTGAGCCAAATGTACGGATCCCTTTCCTTTCCCCTTCGGGCAATGATCGCGCAAATGCTCTGTACTACCGCATGTATGACACTTCATAGTGTTGCCAGAAGCGTCCCTAGGGTTGCCCCTCCGCCCTTTTCCCTTACCAGAGGTCCGCCTGCGACCCCGACCTTTGCCTCCGATAAGAACTTCTTCAAAAACTATATCAGTTAAGGACGTGAGGAAAACAGTGATACCCCTACCATGCATACGGCGTCTGCGACCCCCTTTGCCACGACCCTTTCCACAACGTTTGAAATGTCGGCGTACTGCACGTCTCACTTTTCTGACTGGTTTCTTCATAAAGCGCCTCCAACGGCGTTTTGATTTGCGATAAGCCATAAAAGCGGCTTCCGCTCTTTGTTGTTCAGAAAGGTGAGTGTCATCAGCTGGATAGTCATTGCCAGCAGAGACCATACCATTGTGATCACCGTCAGATGAGGTATCTGTGTCAGTGCCAGATTCAAACGGAAAGGGTGGCTGAGACCCTTGAGCGGATGACTCCGCTTGGCCCCAGAGGGTTGTGCCCGAGGGCGGGCTTGCAGTGTAGGCGGCGCCCGGCGTGTAGTTCGACCAGGCGTTCGCCTCCGCTGCCTCTGCCGATGCCTGGCCGGTCTGCCCTAAGAGGGCAGTGGCCTCGTTGGGCATATCGGCTGAATCAGCCCAGGGACTTGGCTCGCCAGGACCAGCGGGTGACCCCGCAGTCGTGGCGTAAACACCTGCGTGTGCGTGGTGCCCTGCGAAGATGCCCGCAATGTTGCCAGGAGAGCGCTCGGCAACATGCCCGTAGTTCCTCATCCTGGTTAGCAGCCTATCATAGTCTGCTTGCGTTCTGGGCATCTGATGATTAAAGGGCTCCAGCAGGTGTTGGGCTCGTGACGCGCCAACGCCTAACGCTCTGAAAAGGATCAGCGTTAGGATCTGAAAGTTGGGGATGACAAATCCAACAGAGTTAGCCTCGTCACGGGCATCTCGAATCGAGCTAACACTGAGTCGATTCGCTCGCCCCTTTCGACGCGAAAGTCGATAAGGGCAGTGCCAGAGTTGAGCTGGCGCTCATCTTCCGGATTTTCAAATTTGGTGCTCAGTAAGTACAGTATATATGTTACTGCATCCGTTGGCTGTCCATTGACAGTTACACCATAATTGATGATCTGGGAGGGGACCTGCATGGCGATACGACGAGCAAGACCTTGAAGGCCTCGTTGTAGTGCTGCAGCTTGTTGTGGTGGCGTCATATTGCCGCTCATTACGTTATCCATGCATGTACTTCGCGAACGTATTCGCGAAAAGGCGTAGTACCGGCAGGGCCCCATGAAGGGCCAGTAGTACGCGTGTCGTCCATCCCCTGCCGCATGTATCCCACAGCACATCCCATTATTACCCACAGAATGCCGAAGATAGTTATCTTAATCCAGTGCATGTGCATTTCGGCTTCGGTGATTGGTTTAGGCTGTGGTTTGTCAGGCTCTGGCGTAGTAGCCGTGAGGCGCCTGACCGGCACGGGATGCAGGTGGCCCCGCTGCGGGTAGCCCCGCAGGGTGACCACGTTCTCGATCGAGTTGCCGATTGGCATCTGGTGGAAGGCGGGAGTGAAGTAGCGCAGTGAAGTAGGAGAGAGCGTCTCGAGTTCGCGGGTTGCCCCGCTAGCTCGATCGCGGACTGGCTCCGCTCCTCGCAGAGCCGGCGCAACATGGTCTTCCACCGTAGTAGTAGTCCACCAAGTTGTGCCGTGGATTACAGGAATCAGAGCGAGAGCCAGCCACACGAGAGTGTAGCCAGCTCCGCTACCAAGTCGAAAACGCACTGGTAAGCCAAGATATATGTTCCGCCTTAGGCGCTCCCATATCCCAGGCTTTGGCTCATACCGCATGAGCAAGAGAGCAAGATGAAGCATGGAATCTGGAGTAAAGGATAGAAGGGGCATCTTCAATAGAAAGGTCTTTTCCGATCTCAGATGCGAGTAGTGCGCCTCGGTGAGGCACAATCACATGTTCGGCCGGGCCCGGCTTGAGCCAGGCACGGCAGCGGTGCATGCTCGATTTACATCTCGCCTTTAACCCTCTCCGTTTAAAGTGGGCCCAGCATAGTGCGGAGTCACGCGCGTCCGTCGAGACCCCGCCCTTCTGGGCTGCTGCCATGCGTGTCACTGTCGCAGTTCCCATGCGAAGCTGTCGAGACCTTGAAGACCACCAAGAGGCCCTCAAGACACCCCAAGAGGCCCCCACGAGCCCCAAAGAGGCCCCCAAGAGGCCATCAAGATACCGTCCCTAGAGACTTCGAGAACCATCTAAGAGGCCTCTGGTTCATTGAGGCTTCCCAGGGTATCCGAATCATGTCACGCTTCCCCGAAAGGGGCAGCTCCCCTTGGCATCGTTCGAGGCTGGGCTGGTGGGGAAACGCAAAGCGTTAAGAACGTCATGACGCACGCGCTGCGATACGACAAACACCGCGACACCACCCCCACAAGGGAAGAGGGCAACCGCCACTGTTTCAGCACGCCGAAGGGCTGGCAGCGAGGGCCCTTGCCCTCGATCTGCCTCTTCGTCTCGAGTGCTCTCGAGAAGTCCACGCGAACAGCGGCTGCTGCTGCATGCAACTGACGCGGCAGCGTATAGGTACAAGATCACTGGGCCGATAATGCCGCACTACACCGAATCCCATACCCATGCCCACGCCCGCTTGATAAGACCTCTAGCTTCAGCGCCCTCAATCGGATCGGTGTGGCATGCCAGTACACGCTGAAACTGGAACGCCAAGAGCTTGTCCAACGATCGCCGCATTCCTGGAATGTCGATGGACCTCATGCGAGGGTGTGTGCGATAAGACGGCAGCAGGCCGCCAGAGTTATCCTGAGGGTGGCCATAGAATTCGCTGGCCCAACGGGCCAGAGGCGTGCTGAAATCTCTGGGCAGAATTTAAGCATGCTTCGATTTCGGGCGCGCGTGCCGATCCGTGGGGGGTCCGCGGACGAAAGCCGGCAAAGCCCAGGCAAGGCCCTCGCGGGTCCCGGCAAAGTCCCAGCAAGGTCGGGTCGGACATACCGGAACTCCTGGGCGCGGCCTCGGCACCCCCCCGAGCGCCCCAGTGAGGCGCCAAGAGGGTGGCACGTCCAACGGCCTCAGGCCAAGAGCGTTCCACCATGGCCCACGTTGGTCTCCAGACGGCCCAAGACGCTCCAGGAGGGTTCCAAGAGGACTTCGAGAGGCCCCGCAAGCGCAGAAAGGCCCAAAAGGCCCCACTATCGCTCCAAAGCGCTACGACAATCTTCCAAGGGGGCCTCCAAATGGCCCCAGACGGCCCTAGGACGGTCCAAGGAGGCCTCCCAAATGGCCCCAGGATGGCCCTAAGAGGGGGACCACAGGGCGAACCCGAACAGATACTTCGAACTCTCGGCCCCAAGAGGCGCCCACCCTAAGAGCACCCCAAGAGCCCCCCCAGAGCCCCAAAGAGGCCCCCAAGAAGCCCCAAAAGAGGCTCAAGACCCCCAACAGGCCCCCAGGAAGCCGCAAGAGGCCCCCAACTGGCTCTCCACAGGCCTCAAAACTGCACCTCAGAGGCTCCCGAGAACCTTCCCAAGAGACCCCAGAAGCGTCCATGCGAACTCTGACCCACAACCCAAGTACGTCTTGAAACTCTGCTGGAACTCTCTTGAGCCATCTTGGCGCCCTCTGGGGCAGTCGACCGGCTCTCTTCGACAGGTTGCGAGCCACATCTCCAAAAATCACCTCGAGGACAGTCCTGCCTGCCACACCGTTCCTCGTGGGCACGAACACACCACCATGCAGCAACCGTGGTGCGAAATGGGCTGGCGGAGTGAGCGAAGCGATATAATAACTCTTCTTGCCCTTCGGCAAACCATCCTGGAGTCGCGTAGTGAGTGAACTTCCCACCAGGTCCGACGATGTCGGGGTTGGACTTGTACAGAAGATCGGAGATGATCAGCGTCTTGGACAGTTTATGGAACAGGGTAATCTCACCTGTGCGGTTGTCATCAAGAACGCAAATATGGAACACTGACTGCAGAAGCTGCCACATGTCAGCCTGCCTCGTATCGCTGGCCGGGTCTGAACCCTCTCTGTCGACGACAGGAGCGCTCAGCACTGCTTCATCGCTGCATGACGAACTGATGACACCATCGAACCGGAGATCACGGCGCTTTCGAGTGAGCGGTGGCATCTGCCCCGAAGCCTTACCACATATGTAAAATGCATCTGGAAAGGCTTGCTGGTAAGCAGATAGGGCTAGGTGGTGCTGAGGCGTCGGTGAGAGAATGATACGCACGGGCAACAGGCTGTGTTCAGTCAGTGCTGCAACTACCTCGTCGATTGTGCCGCACGGCCCCAACACGGGCGAGTAGAGCACGCAACCGCCCTCGGGCGCGGGCAGTCGAACGACTGTCATGTTACACATCCAGCCGAAGGGCTCGGTCGACTTTCCTGGCTCGGGCATCTTCTTGAAGTAGATGCAATCGCACATCGCCGGAATACCTCGGCCCATCATGCCAGATGCTTCCCCGAATGTGAGATATCGGCGCAGCTCGTGCTCTCCGCTTCGGACTACGACTCTGTCACCCTGGACGCCCTGCCGCACGTCCACAAACCACGGGCCCGCCTGAAAGACATCGTCCGCTATACGGTCGAAGGCAAACGTCTTGTGCTGCGGCTTGTCCAACCTGGGCCTTTTTGCCGATGAGTTTGACGGCGACTTGTAGAGACACACCGCAGCCTTGACATTTGCTAGAAAAGATGCTGCATTCATTGGCGTGGAAAAGAACGGATACGTAATCTCGACTGCAGCCTTGTACCCTGCGGACGACGTCGTAGCAACACAATCAGTGAGAGTGACCAAATTGAATCCTTTTTCGCAAGCTTCGCGCATGGTGGACTCCACGCAGCAATTTGCCATAAAGCCACCAAGCGCTATCGTCTCAATATTGTGCGCCTTCAACGACTCTTCCAAATTTGTGTTTGGAAAAGCACTCAAGCCGCGTTTACCTTTAACTAGAATGTCTTCTGGCTGGGGGGTCATGGCATTACAAATCTCGGCATTCCATGTGCCACGTGTGAACAGCTTGTCGTTGTCACAACCACCCAGAATCCCAAGATACCTGTTCGGGTTGTCGGAACCGTCTTCCGCAAAACTGATGGGCGCGTGGAAGACTTTAACTCCCAAGGCGCGAAGGTCCTTGGCGAGCTGGGAGGCGTTAGCAAGCATGCCGGTGCTGTCCATATTTTCTTTCACTTGTGGGTGCAGCTTGCCACCAGGAGTCGTAAACTCGTTCTGAAACTCAATGAACAACGCAGCAGTCTTCCTAGGGTCAATGCCCAAACCACCTCGGCCAGGTGACGCATGGGTCCGATAGCCCTGCATGCTCATGGAAAAAACACGCTCTCACCAAGATGCAACCCTTGAACCAAGATAGCTACGGGAGCACCGCCGAACAGTGATTCGCCAAATAACAAGACCTCCGTGGACACAACCTAGTAGGCTATTGAACTCCCGATGTGCAAGCTGTGGTGTGCAAACAACGAGGCTCCCCACAGGGCGCAAGACATGGGGGGGCGGGCATACAGTAGACACACACGACAAGAAACCTTGCCCCGAAAAGTCTAGGTGCACGTGTGTCGTCGAGCTATGACCTTCCTGACGTGCGCCAGGTCTTCTGAAGGCCCCCGGGACCCCATCGGGAGATACAAAACTTCCGTGGCGGCACCTGCTGGTACCATGGGCTCCGCAGGTTTGGTTTTTCAGCCTACGTGCCTACTAGAGGAGAGCCAGCCACTAGACACTCGACTACGCCGTTGCAAGACTTCGGGATGCTTTACGAGGGCGTCAAGATGTGACATGATATTCGTGATGCTTTACGATGGCGTCAAGACGTGACACTCGACGACGCCGTTGCAAGCATTCGTGATGCTTTACGGGGGCGTCAGGATGTGATATGAGATTTGCCCGCTGCCTCCGCGAGAGCGGGCGGGCGGGGACGCACCCCTGTCCCGACCCGGCCTGAACTGCCCTCCTTCCGCCCCAGAATCTTAGAGGGATGGGTAATGAACAATCGGATCAAAGATCTGGGCATTCAGGACCCGGGACTTCACCCTATTATGCTAAACTGTATGTCTACACTGGGAAAGTCTGAAAACCAAACGTTAAAAAATAGCACACACACACACGGACATACACAACCCACCAGGCGAGATCTTGCCCCTGCCACTGCAAAACGATTGCATTTCACTTTGCCACGACCATTTCACAACGCCGAAAGGGGATCCCCCACGATGGCGACGCGCCATCATTACCATCATCGTCATCATCAGTACCATCATCATTATCATCATCAGCAGCAGCATCAACATCATCATCAGCATTATCATCATCATCAGCATCATGATCATCAGCATCATCATCATCATCGTCATGGTTAGTATCATCATCATTACCATCATCGTCATCATCGGTATCATCATCAGTATCACCATCATCATCATCATCATCATCATCATCAGCATCATCATCACCATCACCATCACCATCACCATCACCATCACCATCATTAGTATCATCATCAGCATTATCATTATCATCACCATCATCATCAGCAGCATCATCATTTCCTGTCGTCACACTGCACGCGTCGCCAAAGTCCTGGGCCGGATGGGCCCATGCGAACCGAGATGGGGCGCATGTTTCCCCGTCGCCGTGACAAAAATATCATGTGGCCTGCGTGCAAGATGACTGACGGCTGGCAGAGTCGGCGGGAATCGGGCGGAGATTGAAACACACCCCGAACTGCTGTGCAAGCCACTAGGCTCTCAAAATGCGGCCTGAGGGCGACGCATGCGGGCGGCAGCACTGGAACCTTCGGTGGAGCTCCACTATAGGGGCAACGAAGCGCTGTACTGGGTGTGGCGGACGCACGCGGGCGTAGCACTGGTACCTTCGGTGGGGCTCCCCACGGGGCCACGAGACGCTGCACTGTGTGTGGCGGACGCATGCGGGCGGTGCCACTGGGGACCGATGGGGGGGGGGCAAGGAGGGCGAGAGGTGACGCGGGGCGCTGTCTTTTCAAAACGAGGACCCAGCACCACAGGATGGTCGGGAAGAGCCGAGATCGTCGGATCGCCTGAGGGCTGGCAGCGCGGCCCACGACCCGGGCCCGCGCCGCGGCCCACGGGAGGGCACTGCCCAAGAGAAACATCCAGACGCACGACGAACTTAGACTCCTCCTTGCCACCCCGCCCTGGGCCTTTGTGGGCCCCGGAAACGGCAGGGCCGTTTTTTCACCATTTCCCAAAAAATGTCCCTTGAAAGTGGAAACGGCAAAAAAACGGCGACCAGAAACGGCAAAAAAACTGCTCCAGGATTGGAACCGGAGCCGGAACAGGTCAAAAAACGGCGACGGAACCCCCAGTGGAGAAAAACCAGAGTCGGACCGCGCGCGGAAAAACGCCAGAACGACCGGAAACATAAACGGCCCTGTCGTTTCCAGGGCCCACTGAGCCCTGGGCCCCCGAGAACTCTCACGATCGTCGGGAGCGCCCCTGGCGAAGGAGGGCCCGACAGGGGCAGATCGCGGGCAAGGCCTCCCAAGGCCGCCACCGCCGCTGCACACATCCGCCGCCCGAGCCTCTCCTCGCCGTCGTCTGCGGGCCTGGAGTTGATCCGCCGTAGCCACCACCTGGGCAAACATGACCCCAGGAGGCGGTGGACATGCTCGGGCCTCAGGGAGGCCCAGAGATGTCCACATCCATCGACTTCTGGGATCCACGAAGATCGGGCAAACTGGATGTGAACATGCAAGATCTCTCGCCTAGGATCGTCGTCGCCGCGGTCGCCGCCGCCGTCGTGTCCTCCCACCAGGGTCCCGTCTTAACCGGTCCCCAGACAGCTCCCAGTGCCCATCCTGACCGGCTGCTCCAGGTGCGTTTGGCCGTGGCAACGAGAACCTCGAGGCAGTGAGAAGAGAGGAGAGAGAAGGAGTGCAGCACCAGCTACCGGGGGGCCACCCACTTCGCACGCACAACCAAACAACTAGAACTCGTCCCCCGACTACTCCGGGACATTTAGGAGGCAGGATTTGGGCGGAGCGCGCGCGCCCTGCGAGTGTACAAGCACCGCGAAAGGGGAGGCGGAACTCAACACGCGGATGATGTGTTTCATTAGATGAGGGGATAGAATCCTGCCCGAGATGCCGAGTGACGTGCCACTGCGGAAACAAAGATGCAACATCCGCGAAAAAAGACGACGCCATGTAGCCTCTATTACCACGCTACCTTAGTGTCCTTATCTGTTGTATTGTTTCCTGTGCTCGTCCTTGTCGTTGTCCTCTTGCCGCTGTGTAGGCACCTCTGTTTCCCTCTTCTGCTGGCCTCATCTCGTTCCCTGTGCACCCAGATCGACTCAGTGCCAGACATTCCTGTCCATCCATGGAGGGCCCAGAGAAAGTAGACGGGGGACGCATGTGAGCCTCACCCTGACCTTGCCCCCTTCGTCCCCGAACATTATTCTGTATAGCCGATGCGCAATCTGCCAGGTTGACTGCACATCACCAGCGTCTTAACCTCACTGTCGACGGCGCACGATGTCGGTTCGGTCGCGCCTATCGACCGCGCCGATATTGTCTATGCCTTTCCCCATCCGCGTGCGTCCGTGCGCGATTTGACACCGCACAGAGATCCTGGCACAGCGATCAGCGTTTAGCGGATGTTGTCCACGAACTGTTGCCCCGTCTTCTGTTTTTACTTTTGTTTTGCCTATCTTTTCCCCTTCCTCGTTCTCTGTCTGCTCACGCTACGCACTCTCCTACGTATAGCCAGTATACGGTGCCCCCTTTTAGCTGTCTTCTTTTTCCTTCTTTGACCTTGGACCAGGTTCGGGAGGCAGCTGCTTCTCCAGCGCGCCTGGCCGCGCCAGGGGCCGGCGAGGGGCGCGAGGGCCGCCGCGGGCCTCGCGGCAAGCGGCCACGAGCGGCGAGCACAGCCACGCACAGTGGCCCTCGCGGTCCAGACACCGCCGTGCCTCCTCCTCCTCCTCCTCCTCCCCCTCCTCCGCCTCCTCCGCCTCCTCCTCCTCCTCCTCCCCCTCCTCCTCCTCCTCCTCCTCCTCCTCCTCCTCCTCCTCCTCCTCCTCCTCCGTGGCACCTGTGCCACTGGGTCCCCTTCCCAGAAAAACAAGCGGGTAGCAGCCCGATCGTCACCCTTGCTTGCCAGTAGGGGGCCAAAGGGAGAGAGAATTGCTCCTCGTCGCCAGTGGCCACCCATGGAGTGGGTGGTGGGCAGGTCGGGCGTCGGAGCACGGCCTCTGGCGCCCCCTGCCCCGAGCAGGGCGCGCGGAGCACGGTCTCCTTGCGTGCCCTGTCTCGCGCACCGGAGCACGTGCTCCTCCTGGTCCTGGCCACGGGGGCACGTGCCCCGTCGGTTGGCCCGCAGGACCTGCGCCTGTGGGCTATGCCAGTCCTCGCTGGCGCCTGCGGGTCTTGCAAGCCTCGCCCGCAGGAAGACCCGTCATGACTGGCGGGAGAGGGTGCAGCGGCAAAAATCCTCCTCCTCCTCCTCCTCCTCCTCCTCCTCCTCCTCCTCCTCCGCCTCCGCCTCCTCCTCCTCTCCTTCTTCTTCTTCTTCTTCCGCCTCCTCCGCCTCCTCCTCCTCCTCCTCCTCCTCCTCATCCTCCTCCTAGGTCGGGCTATAGTTACTCCGATGTTCTAAATAAGCGTCGGGGGGGCGTCACCCCCGTCGACAGCCCCATGGACAGGAGAGGACAGGATGTCTGCGTGCCGGCTCCGGTAGCTGGAGCGGTCCCCTGAGGGGCAGGCGTGCTTATGGCAAGCAGGAAGATGCACCGAGTGAAACGCATGCATGGGAGGCCGCTCACGCATCCAACGAGTCTCTCCATCTCAGACGAGATCGTCCATCTCAGATGAGGTCGCCCCTGCATCCATGGGGCTATAATTACTCCGATGTTCTGAATAAACGTCGGAGGGGCGTCCCCCACGCCGACAGCCCCAGAGCGACCCCCGTCGCGGGCAGCCACCGCGCGCCGAAGGCGCTCCGACCCCCGTCGCGGCGCGACGACGGGGCGAGGTTGACACCCGCCTGGGTTTACCCCCCACACGCTCAAAAGAACCAGAATATATTTTTTACTCCCTGGGGCCGTCTGAAGCTATTTTGGGTTGCCTTACGGCGGTCTCTCGGGCGCTGTCTTGGGGGTCTGCGGCCGCTTCGAGCTGGAAAGCTCGAGGAAACGCGAGAAAGCCCGTGAAAACCTCGAACAGAAAAAAAATGCAAACAATGATTTGCGGCCTCTTGCGCCTCTCGCGACGTTCTCGGAGACCTCTCGTGGGCCCGCTTTCCTCTCTCCTCCTCCTCCTCCTCCTCCTCCTCCTCCTCCCTACTACTCCTCCTCCCCTCCCTCCCTCCTCCTCCTCCTCCCTCTCCTCCTGCCCCCTCTACTCCTCCTCCTCCCTTCTACCTCCTCCTCCTCCTCCTCCTCCTCCTCCTCCTCCTCCTCCTCCTCCTCGGTCGGTTCAAGAAATGTTCAGAACTTGCCAAAAGATGCTCAACGAATCGTCCCCCGACTATTTTTACTATTCGGGAAAATTCCCGTGTAGAGGGGCGCGCCCGACGTAAGGGTACATCGCCCGAGGGGTCCAGGCCGCGAGGGCGCGGGTGTGGGCGCGTTATCCCCCCTCCAGCGGGCCCGCCGCCGCGTCCGACCACGGCCACCAAATCGCATCCCAATGTGGACGCCCGAAATGGGTACAGACAACAGGAGTACGATGCCAATCAGGCGGAGGCAATTTTTCAAACTCTTCCACGGCCCCACGGGGCCCATGCATGCATCGATCTGGCTTCGGGGGCGCGGGCGCCGGCCGCGCTCTCGGGCCGCGGCCGCTGCCGCCCGCTCGTCCCGCGCCGCCTGGCCCCTGGCCCGCGCCAGCGCGAGCTCGCCGAAGCCACTGGCGCGTGCCACCGGCGCCAGGGGCGGCACGAGGAGCTAAGGAAGCCCTGGATAAGGAGTCGGGGCTCTGGAAGCCAGTGGGACTCCAATCGTGTATCGGCCCATGGGTATCGCCACCGGCCTCGTCCGCCAAGGAGTCCTCCAGGGTCTGAAGCCTCCTGGGCACACTCCTTAGTCGACGCCCCCACCGTAACACATGTTGCCTCGCACCGACAACGGCCACTGTTGGGCAAGCGGTCTTCTGCCTCAAATGATCAGCGTCCGCGGCGACACCGACCGCAAGTCTGGTTCAAAATGACCAGGGATTGATGCCGGTTTTCGTTCCCATTCTTTCCGTACCCATCTCGGTAGTAACGACACCAGCAATGACCCAGGACCCCCGAGGTCATGTTTTTCTTGACATCGACATACGAGAGAGCGCGTTTCACGGGCCCTTGCCTTGGGAACATGCGGCGGCGCGTTGCAAACCAGGGGGGGGCCCCCCACCCCCAACACTCGGCGCCGTCGATCAAAACCAGGGGGAACTCCCCTCCCCCGCACCCCCCCCTCCAGAACCCCCTCCCCCTTCCCAAGCGGTGGGGGGGGGCTTTTGAACCCCCCCCCCTTCTCGGCGCCGGCGCCGGCGGCCGCCAGCAGCGCCGACGGCGGGGACGCATGACGAAGATGACCAAGGTAGCCCAAGGGGGGGGGGGTTGAACCCCCCCCCCCTGGCGCGCCGAGGGGGGGGGGGTTCAAATCCCCTCCCACCCCCTTGGGGCCAGCGCCAGCGACGGCGCTGGCGGCGGCCAGCAGCGCCGGCGCTGGCGCCGGCGGCGGCGGGGACGCAGCGACGATAACCACGACTACCACCACCACCAACACTCAACCACCACCACCACCACCGCCTCCACTCACCACCACCACCACCACCAACCCACCACACCACCACCACCACCACCACCACCACAGCCACCACCACCACCACAACCATCATCACCACAACTCACCATCACCACCACAAAAATCCACCACCACTACCACCACCACTGCAATCTACCACGCCACCATCACCACCGCCACAACCACCACCACTACCAGCAGCACAATCCACCACCACCACCAACACCACAAACCACCACACCAGCACCACCACCACCACCGCCACCACCACCACCACCACCACCACCACCAACAACAACAACAACAACAATAACAACAACACCAGCACCATCTCCACAAACCACCGCCACCACCACAACCCACCACCACCACACCAAACCACCACCACACCACCAATCAACCACCACCACCATCACAACCCACCACCACCACCACGGCGTGGCACTTAAATGATCTGAACAACTTAGCTGTGCTGTGGAACGTACTGGACCAGAGCAGCGCTCGTAGACGCCAAGATGCTTCACGAGCACATTCTTGGATGGCGCGGTACATGGTCAGCTTGGGGTCCAACATCACACTGAGGATATTGAAATCGCCCCCATGGGGCTTGCACTTCTCCAGAATGTGCACGCTCTCCTTCGTCGCCGCCGCCGTCGGGATGATCGTGGTGGTCGTCGTAATCGTCGTCGTCGTCGTCGTCGTCGTCGTCGTCGTCGTCGCCGTCGTGGTCGTTGTGGTCGTGATCGTCGTCGTCGTCGTCTGCGTCGGAGTCGTTGGCATCGTCGTGCCCTCCCCCGCCCCTGGGCGCCCGCGAAGCCCGTGGGGCCCTGGACGTGCTCGCGGGTGCGCCAGCTCAGCTCCAAGTCCGAGGGCGGGAACCGCACGCCCTCTCGGGGTCTCCGAGTCGGGCGGGGACGGCAGAAGCGGCATGGGCTGGCGGCGCGCAGAGGAGAGGTAGGGGGAGGCGGAAGGCTTCGGAGAAGGAGGCTGCTTCTCAGAAGGTGCGGGCCTTACATCTACAGACGAGGTCCTCGCCTTCTAAGGCAGCATGGGGTGCTTCTGAGAAGCCTTCCCCCTCCCCCTGCCCCCCTCTGCGCGTGGCCGCATGGGGGGGGCAGGGGGCGGAGGGTATGTAACAGGGAGCACAAGACTTGGAGGGAAGAGAGGGGTGGGCATGGGCAGAGGGGGCGGGGACATGGAGGAGGTGAGAAACATTAAGAAGCAACTCCTTGGAGGTCGTCGTAAGAGCGATTGAGGGCTATAAACTGAACAGTTTCTTAGGGTGGAGGGCTCAGGGTGAAATCCATATGGGCTTTGGCACCTCGAAGATCAATCCGTCTTGTGATTCTCCTTTTGAAAATTCAAGCCTCGAAAGCCCATCGAAACGGCATTTTATATTTCACCCTTGCCCTCCACCCGAAGAAAATGCTCGGATCAAACCCGATTGGGGATCCACCAAGCCAGAGCAGGGCGGGACGAGCTCAGGCTTAAGCCGCATGGGATCGGATTGGAACGAGACTACGCGTGATTAGGTCGGCCTTTGACAACGGATATTCGGGAAACCAGAAGGCACCGATACCGCTACTCCCTGGACCTGTCCTGGGGTGCGTTCTGACCAGGATTTCGATGCGAATCCAGCGGTGGCGACGAGGGCCTCCGAGGATGCCCTACAAGGGGGAAACGAGTGATAGGGCAGAGGTAAGGGTACCTTTTCCTCCCCCGAGATATGCCAGCGCCGCTGCCGAACTCGATATCCCAGGACATCCGGCCTGACTGGCAGGCAAATGCGCGCTGGAACGGATGCGCGCCGGCGGCAGAAGTCGGGGACGCGAGAGTGGGCAGCGCGAGGCCTACGAGGGGCCCCATCCAGGGCCCCCGGCCTGTGCGAGACTGAGGCGCTCCCGCCAAAGTCCGCGCAGCACCCACGAAAGTGGCGACAGTTGCGCAGATCGCAGCCCGACGGCACGAGAGAAGAGGAAAGGGGAACACAGGAAACAGGAGAGGAGGAGGGGAGGAGGGGGGAGGAGAAGAAGGACGGGGCGACCACACTGCTCTATTCAAAACGAGTACCCAACCATTGAAGGGTTGGGTACTCGTTTCGCACGAGCACGAGCACGAAGCCATACGCCGTCCGGCGCGTAGGCGGGAAAAGTCGGACTGCAAGCGCTCACGGCCAGTGCACCTGCGAAACAGGACAACAGGAGGGCAAGAAGGGGGAGGAGGAGGAGGAGGAGGAGGGAGAGAAGGAGGAGGAGGAGGAGGAGGAGGGGGAGGAGGAGGAGGAGGAGGAGGGGGAGGAGGAGGGGGAGGAGGAGGAGGAGGAGGAGGAGGAGGAGGAAGGAGAGGAGGAGGAGGGGGAGGAGGAGGAGGAGGAGGAGGAGGAGGAGGAGGAGGAGGAGAAGGAGCATGCCCAGCAGGGTGGACATAATTCCACATGTCCGCCAGCGCTGACATATGGCTGTACTAAGACAAACAGCCCCCGCCGCACGTGGACAAACACTTTGCCGTGCGGGTCCCGACGAGCCTGGCCCCGTCGCGGGCTCACCAAGAGGGCCCAAGACGGCCCAAGGGAGGCCCAGCAGCGCTCCAAGAGGATCCCGAACGGACCCAAATGGTCCCAAGACGACCCCAGAGACCGCCGAAGCGGCACAAGAGGTCGCTTGAGGAACACCCAGGAGGAGAATAAGCCGGCAAAGCCAATGGTTTGGAGCACGTTCTGGCGACGCCCAGCCCGGTGGTTTTGGACACATGCTGTCCTCCCAGCCTTCTGGGCTCCACGCGATTCCAGGAGGCGCCCCTGAGAGCCCACACGGAAATTCCAGAGAGCCCCCTGAAGGCCTCGAAAGACCTCCAGACTTGAGCAGGGACCGACCTTCCCAGCATTCCTACAGTCCTACCACGAAATGTTCTTAGAACCCACTAATGTTCTAAGAACACAAACAATGTTCTTAGAAGATAAACCCGATGCGCTAAAAACAAGACAGTCCCAGCCAGAAATGCTCTAAGAACATTTCGTGGAAACCACAAGCTGTTCTTAGAACATTGTGTGGCAGGGCTAGTGGCGAGCCAGGACGCTTCGCCACTGCTTGACAGACGGCCCCATAGAGAGCCTTAAGCACCGGCCGCGCAGGCCCCCGGGGTGGGCCCCCCCCCCCCCCCCCGACGGCCCCAAGGAGGCCCCCGAGGCGGCCCACAAGTGCCCGCAGCGCGCCCCACTGTGCGGCCACGGCGGCGCGCAGCGGGCGCGCGCCTGCCCGAAGGGGGCCCCGAGGAGGCCCCCGTGAAGCAACCACCGACACGGATGGAGCCGCACGGCGACGGGCGACGGGTTCTACCCAGAAGCCCCTCGAGCCTCGAGGAGGCCCCCTTGAGGCAACCCACGACGGATGGAGCCGCACGGCGACGGACGACGGTTCTACCCGGAACCCCCTCGAGCCGTGAAAAACCGCGACGGGAGGTGTTCCGCTCTGTTCGGCCTCCGGGAGCCCTCGCCCAGCCTCGGGGCCGCCCAAAAACGGTCAGGGATGCAACACTGACTACCTACCAGACCACCCCAACCCAACCCGAAGACCCGAATTTCGGGTTGGGGGGGGTAAGGGTTCCACGCGTGTTTCTTTCCTATGTTTCCCGACCCCCCCCATACTAGAAATCGAGGGTAAATCTGAGCCTTCGGGTTGGGTTGGGGTGGTTTGGTGGGTGGTGAAACACGGATCCCGTCGACGTCATGACAGAAATGACGACGTCAGGGGCCTGGGCTTGTGCATATCCGCATGCACACACGATCAAGCTTGAGTGTATATACGAATTCGAGCTCACACATGTTAAAGCAATCGGGCGCGCTTTGCACGCGAATTGTTACACTGGTCTAGCACTGCGTGGCGGAATGTTCGGTCACGCTTCGATGTATCCACCTATCCGCGCACCATTGCGTTAGATTGTAGACATGGCGCCAGCGAGAGGATAGAGTTCCGCTGCTGCCCCAGTTCTCCTGGGGCCAAGGGAAACTGGTACGACGAACGCATCGACGAAGCAAAAAAGAGTACTCACCAGGAGGTGGAGAAACTGTGTCAAGAGGCGGCTCACTTGGAGTACATCGTTGCCGGGCCTCCAGCAAGCTCTGGAAGAGGCCTTGCAGCAAGGTCCTGTGGCGCAAAGTGGAGAGAGGCGGGTGGAAAGAAGTGAGGTAGAGCTGCAGTACGGCGCGGTTGAAAACAAGGGAATGGAGTGGAGCAGAGTTGCGCGGAAGAACGCGGGGTGGAATGGGATCAGGTGGAGCGGAGTGGAGTGGAGAGGGGAGGAGTGTGATGGGGTGGATCGATAGGTCGCAGCGGGACGGGATGGAGTGGGGCGGGGTGCGAACGACTTGAGTAAACTGGCGGTGGGTCCCAACCCCCACTCTTCTCCGCTTCATCCCGACTTTCAGACTGCCACGCCTCATTCCACTGCCGCATCATACTACGCATAATGCTGTTACGCGAGAAGAGAAGTGTAATCAAGGCATGAGCACTGTAAAATACGTGAGAGACAGGGCGCGCATATGTGATAAGACAAGAAGCATGCTTGTACTGGACTGCTACATAAGCCTCCTGCTATAGTTAGATTGGTATAATGCTGACGCTGCGCAATGCAGATGAACCTGTCGCGAAAAGGGAACCCGTGCAAAACATGTGACAAGAAAACCGAAAACGACATCAACAATAGTCTACACGATCAATAACAGATGCGAGCGTGTGATGGTTGAGCCGGCGACACCACAAAACCCGGATGCGTGGGGCATGCAAACTTTCTCATAGCTGTTCGCCCGACCCCCCGCCGCGTAGAGAAGAGGGACGCAGACCGGCTTTCCGAAAAGCACACCGAATATTAACAAGATCAAACAACTCGTGAGCCTCACGGCCGAGTACATGCCCTGCTCCTTTCGCAAACTTGCAGCGCCGAACGGCTGGGAGCGGGGCAGCTCCCAAACCCACGGGCGAGTAGTGCGCCTCACCCTCCGTGGCGCGGCTGCGCGGGTGCCACCCGCGCCAGAGCCCAGCAGAGTTGCGAGAGCACAGCCCGGCCAGCTCCCACACCTGGCCCCGGATGTGGCTGACAGCGCTCACGCTCTGTGCGTGTGGTGGCGGGCGCCGTGCTGCCCGCTCTGCTCTGCCCTGCAACGTAACCAGATGCAGCGTGTCTTGTGCTCCAGGCTGCGTCACCGTCGTCATCGCCACTGCGCCCTGGCAGCGCTCGTGGGTGCGCCCTGGCCTCGGCCACGGCTGCTGCCACGGCACCCGCTGCCCGGGCTGGCCGCTCCGGCCTGCGCTACGCGGAACTCCTCCACGTCTGAGCGCTTTCCCCTCCCCCTCCCCCCGCGCGGCCGCCCTCCTCTTCTTCCTCCCTCTTGCGCGCTGGACAGTGAGCCTTCCGGTTGCCCCGAATAGACACACGCTGGAGCGGACTGCGTCCACGCAGCCAAATGACACGTGCGTTCTCGGAGATTGACGAAACAACGTATGATCATGTGATCTCCTTGTTTGCTTGACGCGTGGGCCGTGGACACAGATGCTCTCCTGCCAAAAAGGGGATCCCCACGGAGGCACGACAACCACGGATCTTCTCGATAACACCTGCATGCTGAGACATAGCGCACAGCGAGCGGTGAGACACGCAATCCGCGAAGCGTGACACATGGGCTGGCGGATGCAGATGCCACGCGTGAGATGAACGCATGCCTTACATACCACATCCAGTACGCTGTAATCCTCTGGATCCCACACATACCTTCATCTGCATAGTCGAAGCTGTGCATGAAGGAAAAGTGGCCGCAGGAGCAGGAAGCGGAGCAAGAAGAGTAAACGCAAAGGAGCAATAGTAAAAGTTCCAGGGCGGTGTCCAGATGCCTTTAGCTTCAACATGGGAGCCCCTTCTGTACTCTCTTAGCCTCCCCAGTCTTGTTATAACCTTTGGGCCACAACGAATCATGTTGATGAAACTAGCCATCTCGGGTTGGGGTCGCCTTCAGTGGACACCACTTGCTCAAACCGAACAGCTGCTGGTCACCGAACGTTCCGCACACTGCACAAACCCAGACATCCACATCTTGGATATACCCCATTCTGTGAGACCCGTGGGCCCAGCGCCCAACGATGTGCCACTCCGGGGGAAAGGTCCTAAAGGAGCTATTCAGGGCAACGAGCTTAGAGCAGGGCGAAGCCCTCCCACGACCACACTCCGAGATCGACGAGGAGCTTCGACACCTGCGGCACCGACGCCCCGAATCGTCCAGCGCATGGCTGCTGGGCATCACAGAGACGTCCTCGGGACACGGCGGAGGCTGGACAGGCTGCACAGGAGGAGGAAGAGGAGGAGGAGGAGGAGGAGGAGGAGGAAGAGGAGGAGGAGGAGGGGATGCAAGCCACCCCCACTGCGAGCACCTCCTCCTCTGCTGCACCTCCTCTCCTGCCGAGCCTGCTCTTCCTCGGCGGCCATCGCGTGGACAGCTGCGCGCTCGCACCAGGAAGGCGCGAGGTTAGACCTGACCAATCCGACCGCGCTCGTGCTCAGGCAGGCGTGGCGCTGCAGCCGCCTCGCTTGCCACGACGTCGGCCATGGCAGCCAGCTCGGAATGACCGTGGTCATCATCTCGGCAGCAGGCGCATGGGAACCGACAAGCAACACCAAAAAGTGTCCAGCACCATCCAGGGCGAAGAAACTTCTGTGACACGCGCCCATCGTTCTGCGAGCTCGCGCGCTCGGGGAAAGAGACTTCTGATTAGCCTGTCTAGACGCTCTGCGCAAGCCATCTGAGCATCAGCCATGCACACTGCATAGTTGGTGGCCAGTCTGGCGGCCATCGGCAGCACGCAGAGCGCACCTCTGGGACGAAGACTGGATACCGGGCAGCGGGCCCGGCGCGGCGCTCTGCATGGCCGCGGCCCTCTCGCTGCGTACCTGGGCGAGACCGCAACCGGCACGACGCAGACGTGGATCCTTCGAATCCGCCCCTCCCGACGCATCGCCAAGCGTGACCACCGGATCGTCCGTGCGCCCTCCCTCGCCGGGAGCGCCGTCGCGGACTCCGTGCAGCACAGGACCCCTCCCCCACCGTGCTCCCTGCACAGCGGGAGCCGAGACAGCCGTCCACGCCTCTGGCATGGCAGGACCCCACCGTGCCTTGAGCACAGCAGGAGGACGCGGAGCAGGAGGCGGAGGAGAGGAGCAGGAGGAGCAGGAGGAGGGAGGAGGAGCAGCAGGCGTGGAGGGGAGGGGAGCTTGAAGTCGTGAACTGTTCCCCCGCCCCCTATGCGCCAAACAGCGCCGCGCACGGTCTGATCGCCCTGCCTCTCGCCCGAGGGTCCTGCCCGGGATCATCTGGGAGCCGTACTGCTGCATGCTGTCGACGTCCTCGGGGGGGCGCTGCAGGCTGCCAGCGCTGACGCGGGCTGTCGACCTCCACGGGGATCTCCCGAAGACGGCTATCCGCGAGCTGGGAGGGGACAAATAGAGGGAGGATGAGTCGAGGAGGAGGGGAGGGAGGAGGATCATCGAAAAGGATAGATCGAGACGAACAGATCGAGATGGAAGGAACAGGGTCGCGGAGGGATAGAGGATCGAGGGGCCCGCCCCAGACAACGCCTCGGCAAAAACTTGCGCCCCCCCCCATCCACCACTTCCCCCCCTCGTGAGCGAGGCCGCCGTCCCTGCCGTATCCTTCCTCCTCCTCCTCCTCCTCCTCCTCCTCCTCCTCCTCTTCCTCCTCAGCATCACCATCATCATCACCACCACCACAATCATCACCATCATCATCATCATCATCATCATCATCAGCAGCATCAGCATCAGCAGCAGCATCATCATCACCACCATCATCAGCATCATCATCATCATCACCACCACCATCATCATCACCATCATCACCATCATCATCATCATCATCATCATCATCAACATCATCAGCATCATCATCATCAGCAGCAGAATCACCATCAGAAGCACCCTTTCCATCACCATCAACATCACCATCAATATCAGCATCATCATCAGCATCATCAGCATTATCATCATCTGCATCGTCATCATCATTATCATCATCATCCTCATCATCAGCAGCATCCTCGTCAGCTTCAGCAGCATCATAATAAGCAGCAGCAGCAGCAGCATCATCTTTGTGAGCAGTGCCATCATTGTCATCATCATCACCACCACCACAATCATCAGCACCATCATCATCATCATCATCATCCTCATCATCATGAGCATCATCATCATCATCATCATCAGCAGCAGCAGCATCGTCCTCGTCGTCCTCCTCCTCCTCCTGCTCCTCCTCCTCCTCCTCCTCCTCCTCCTCCTCCTCCTCCTCCTCCTTCCTCATTATCCTCCTCCTCTTCCACCTCCTTCTCACCCTCCTCATCTCGCTCCTCCGCCTCCTTCTCCTCCTCCTCCTGCCCTTCCTGCTCCCGCTCGCTCCCCATGTCGCTTGTCCGACCGACCACGGTGGCCTCTGGGGGTAGTCTCGGCCGCCGCCGTTTAAGGCAGAAGCGCCAGGCAGGAGGAATAGCGGCGAAAATGATGACGGCGGTGGCAAGAGGGGTGAGGAGAAGGGGGATAGAAAGATGGGGAGGATGAGGTGTGAAAGGGTCGAGCGAGGAAAAGCGAAGAGGAAACAAGAAGCAGTGGAGAAGAAGGAGCGGGGTGAGCTCCTGACCATCGAAGAGTCCTCCTCTTGCTCTTCCCCACATCTTCTTCCTACTCGTCCTCCTGCTTCGGCCCTCCTCATCCTCAGAGGAAGGGGGGAGAGAAGGGAAGGAAGGGACGAAGGAGGACAGAATGGGGAGAGAAGCCGTGGATGTCGAGAGGCGAACGCAGGAGCGAGGGGCAGACGAGGAAGCGGCTCGCGAAGGGCTGGGGGTGGACACGGAGAGAGGGGGCGACAGAAAGGCCAAGCAGGAAACCGTGCGCAGGAGATGCGGCATCACGCGCTCGCGCCTCGTTCACCTTGACGCGGTTCACCCGGCTGGGGGACGGGGCGACGGCGTTCAGGTTGAGGCACGGGGGCTCCCTGGAGCATCGCGGGGGGGGGGGACTTGCTGGTCAATGACGGAGAGAATGGCACTGCTCCAGCGCCACGTGCCACAAGATGCATGCACACGTGTGCACGCATTTGCATGCGCACACATACTCACCTGCGGCAATCACGCTCCTATCGAGCGCTATCGAGCGCGCTCTTCCCAGCCCCCACGGCATCTTCGTCCTCACCGTCATCGCCGTCATCGCTGCCACGGCCATCGCCGTCGCCGCCGCGCGTCGCCTCTAATTAGTCGCCTGTCATCTTTGTCATCACCGTTCGTCGACGACGGGCCCCCCCACAGGTCAAGTGCCGTTCGCCGCCTCCGCTCGCCCTCCGCCCGTGCCCCGAGCGAGGCACGTCGCAGCGGCCGTGGGCTCCGGCCACGGTGGGCGGCAAACCCAGGCCCTTGCCGTCGCTCGGACGTCCATTTCTGGTGCATCTTGTCGGTTTCGTGCGGTTTTTTACCTAACAGCGAAGACTGATAGGTTTCTAGTTGACTCAAAAGAGCTCACAAATCACTCCACAGGGGGGTCCGGGCGGGTGCCGGACAGGGTGCCGCAGAAGTCGTTTTAAGCAAACAGTCACACACTTCGTGCTCTTCGACCTCCCAGAACTCCATTCCCGGGCCACATTCTGAATGCCCGGAGCCAACTGTAGGCCACTTCGTGCTCTTCGAGTTCCCAGAACTCCATTCCCGGGCCACATTTTGAATGCCCGGAGCCAACTGTAGGCCACTTCGTGGTCTTCGATCCCCAGAACTCCATTCCCGGGCCACATTTTGAATGCCCGGAGCCAACTGTAGGCCACTTCGTGCTCTTCGACTTCCCAGAACTCCATTCCCGGGCCACATTTTGGATGCCCGGGGCCAACTGTAGGCCACTTCGTGGTCTTCGAGTTCCCAGAACTCCATTCTCGGGCCACATTTTGGATGCCCAGAGCCAACTGTAGGCCACTTCGTGGTCTTCGAGTTCCCAGAACTCCATTCCTGGGCATGATTTTGAATGCCCGGAGCCAACTGTAGGCCACTTCGTGTTCTTCGAGTTCCCAGAACTCCATTCCCGGGCCACATTTTGAATGCTGAGGCAGGCTGATGCTGAGGCTGAGGCAGGCTGAGGCTGAGGCAGGCTGAGGCTGAGGCCGAGGCTGAAGGCAGACTGAGGCTGAGGCTGAAGCAGACTGAGGCTGAGGCTGAGGCAGGCTGAGGCTGAGGCTGAGGCAGGCTGATGCTGAGGCAGGCTGAGGCTGAGGCTGAGGCTGATGCAGGCTGAGGCTGAGGCAGGCTGAGGCTGAGGCCGAGGCTGAAGGCAGACTGAAGCTGAGGCTGAAGCAGGCTGAGGCTGAGGCTGAGGCAGGCTGAGGCTGAGGCAGGCTGAGGCTGTGACTGTGACTGCCGTTGCCACTGCGACTGTCATCGCGAATGCGACTACGACTGCGAGAACAACAGAATTCTACAACTGGATTCTCATCTGAATCTTAAGGGGAATGCTTCCAGATATGCTCCTACACATCGCTGTTAGGTTGCTTTGCCGGGATAATTGCTCGATGGTGCACACGTCCGAGCGATGCCAAGAGCCCCTTGGGCGTCCTGGACGTCCTGGGCCCTGGGGCCCCCCCTGCTTGGCACGTCTGCTCCGCGGCACGCCTGGCCCTCCCCGGGAGGACTGGGCCCCCCGTGCCGCTCCCTCCGCCGCCGCGGCGCTGACAGCGAGCCACACCGCCAAGCCGGGGGGGGCGGGGCGGGGCGGGGCGGGGCCCGCCTCTGCAGCATGGCGGCCACCCACTCGGGGCCGCCCAGCCTGCCCAGCGCCTCGGCGCTCGCCGCCGCGCGGGCCGCGGGATCCCGAGGCCCCGCGCTCGCGGCCGCCCCGCTCCGCGCCCGCCCCGCCGCGCCTCGCCGCGGCCCCCCCTGCGCCGGTCGCCGCCGCCCGCGGCACCTCCGCGGAGCTCCCTGCGCCGGCGTCGCCGCTGCCGCCCTCCCCTGCTAGTGCTGCTCGCACAAGTTGCGCCGCGGAGAGGCCCCCCTCGCCGGCTGGCAGAGGCGGCGCTGCTCACGCGTGCGCAGAGGCTGTGGGCCAGAGAAGCACGGCGTCGCTCGCCTCCGCGCCCCCCCTCCCCCCCAGCCCCCTCCAAGGTAGTCGCAACGAAAACGAATTCAGGAGTTCATGCGCGCACTCGGCCGGTGACCTTGCCAGCAGAAGTGCGAGCAGGAGCCACAGCCAGATGATGGCTATGCCCGGCTCGCTGCGCAGACGGGCGTAACTCGCGGTCAACGTCATCGAGCTTCGCAGCCTCGGCATCCGAGAGTCGAGGCGCGAAGTGGAGTGCCCCCTCCAAGACGGCGAGGCGAGGACACGATACGCCCAGGCATCCGCCGATCTGGTTTCTTCAATCCGTGGCCCCAGGGGTCTCGGCCGCAACCCTGGGGGTGGTTTCTCGCACTGGAGTGTGAATTGCCCAGGGGCCCGACAACCGGCCCCCAAGGGCAGAACTCTTGTTAAAAAACGCCTGCGTTCAAAAATTCGGATCGTCGGACATCTGGCAAACAGCCGTGGCTGTGCTCAGGGACGGGGTGGTCTTGAGAGGACTGGGCCAGCTTTCGGGCGCGCGCCTCTCAAGCCAAGGACTCGGCCAGCCCTGGCGCGCACAGGCTCATCTTGCACAGCGCTGCGATGTGGCTGGAACCTGCGGGCCAACCTCCTGGAAGCTGGCGAAGACGAGGCCAAACCAAATACGAGCACAGTGGGATCTCCTGATGACCGGCCCAGGCTGGATCTCCTGCCAGATGTTTTTGTCAATCCCAGAGGGTTCTCCTTGGTTTCGGCCAGTAGGGCCCGCTTTCGAACCCTTAGTCGAACACATGGTCCTGGGGCAGGCCAGCTGTTGAAAAAAACACATCGTCGGATGTCTGCAGGAGAGCGGGGGGAATGGAAGGGAGGTGGGGGGCGGGAGGGAGGGCGCTGGAGAGGCAGGCAGGGGGGAGATACGCGGAGACTCTTGGGACTCCAAGTTGTTTCTAAAGCCCTCTGGTGCGTTCTGTAGGGGTGGAAGAGGAGGAGGAGGAGGAGGAGGAGGAGGAGGAGGAGGAGGAGGAGGAGGAAGAGGAGGAGAAGGAGAAGGAGGAGGTGGAAGAGGAGTAGAAAAAGGAGGAGGAGGAGGACGAGGAAATGGAGGAGGAGGAGGAGGAGGAGGAAGAGAGGAGGAGGAGGAGAGGGAGGAGGAATGAATTCGCTTTGGGGAAATGTGAGAAAACGGCCCGCCGGACCCGCTTTCCAACTATAGCGGGGCGGTCCTGCCTGGCGTCCATCACCTCGGACTGGGAGCCGACCGTGGCTGCTTCGAGGGAAGCTCCCAAGGACGGGGTCCCGTCTCACCTGTCCGAAATACCAAGGACAGCCTGCCATCTGACGAGCTGGGCATTGAAAGATTCGGCACAATGTACAAAAGCATCCTGCGGGAATGAGCGGTGCTTCAAGTGATGATGAGCACAACAGGCAAGATCATAGCGCAAGGCAACACTGACAAGAGCATCGGCGGGAAGGGGGGGAAGTCGACATACCAGAAGTTTCTGGACAAGACGACGTTGCACGAAAGCCGGGGGGAGAAGGGGAAGAAACAAACCGACCTCCTAACATGGAACCCACAATGTGTCGAACGGGTCCCCATGAAAGACCTTAGGCGCACTTCAATCCTTCCTGGTTCCTTTGAACCTCCCGCTACACGTCCAGCAGTTAGACGGTGTTTGCAAGAACATTTGTAATCCACAGGTAAACACCTCTTCGGCAGCCCTGAGAAAACTCAACCTAAGATTCGGGGCGCCACTTCTAAAACATTGTGGCACAGCTCCAGGGCTCGCCGTTCCAGCATATCGCAAGGAGACTGTTCAGCCACTCTCTAAACATACTTCTCCATATTCCCCTGAAGCCAGGTAAACTCACGAGGGGCCTCGGGAATTGCTAAGAGAGGCTGGTAGTTATCATGCTATGTGTTCGTGATGCCCTCTTGCCAAGCGGGGTGATGCTCCCATGCAACGAAGCAACCGTCGTCTTCAGCGTAACTGATAAGAAGCTCCTCCGCCTCCTGAAAGGCGTTCGTCCTATCGTCAACTCTGCGCCGTGCAGCTCTTGAACGAACCTGAACAAAGGTGGCCTGCATAGGAAAGCGATGCTCCCACGGTTCTGGAGGTCTCCGGAGGGGGTCGCGTTGCCCTGCAGCATGCCGCGGGCGATGCCCTGGAGCAGTTTGGCATCGGATCGGAACACTTCTCACTCATTCCGAGCATGGTGCCGAGATACTTGCCACGCGAACCTAGGCGGACGACGTTGCTTCTGAACTCCTCCTCCTCCTCCGAGAACCTCCTGAGAGGAATCGCCGCCGCCTGATGAACATGCACGTGCAAACTCGAGACGGCTCCAGCCAGGACCCGCATCTGTGGCCGTGGGGTCGGCCACCGCCGGCAGGTCTGCCGCAGTCTGCGAAGGCGGCCGAAGGTTCGGGTCGCAAGCCAAGACGACAAGCATTCCAGACGTCGGGCAGCCTTGTTCGACACCTCGAGAGAGGATGGAAGCCGCGTCCCCGAACAAAGCCTCGAGGAAAGCATCGTGGCACGTGGCCTCGACGGCTTTCAACAAAAAAACTGTAGGGATTGCTCCCTGCGCGGTGTGAAACGCCCGGGCGGCGTGAATCGCAAGCGAAGAGTACGCAAACGCTCTGGCCGAAGAGTACGCAGACGCTCTCCCTGCAGCCTGGCCCGGCAAACCAGTGAAGACATTTCGGCTCCACCGGGGCACGTGCCTGCCGCGGACGAGAGAAACTCCGCTGGAGCATGCAGACCGTCCCCTGGCATGCCGAGTCGTGCACCGGCCTAGACGATGTTGTTGCCCGAGCCTGAAAATGAAATAGGTCGCGTCTTCTCTGGCGTCCTCGCAGTGAAACCCGCGTCGTTCGGCGCATCGCCCTTCGCCAAGACATATTGCCACGGCGTCGCTGAAAAGAGGCAGTGCGGAGCCAGCCTGGAGCATGCGGAGGCAGTGCGAGCAGAGGGCATTGGTCGCAACAGCCCCTGCTCGAGACCAGCCTCCTAACGTGGGCCGTCGGGCCCGGGCGCACCGCCACGGATGCGCCCCACGATTGCCCACCAGCTGCCGAAACTCGGGCTCCCCTATCGGCGTCGGGAACTATGGCCCGAAGCGCGTCAACGCACCCTGGCGTGCCTCAACCGCCGAGCGCACCTGGCCCCAGAACCGTGCAAGCTCGCGACGCGAGTGCCAGCGTCTAGAAGAGCTGCGGAGCTGCGCCAGGGACGCCCCCACCCCCCCGCCGCTCAGCCCGCTCCGTCCACCCACCGCGCCAAGCCCGCGTTTGCGAGTCCTCGACCGCCAGACACTCCTGCAGACCGCCCAGTGAGCTGAGCTTGCTCTGCTTCGTAACGTCAGACATGTGCTCGCTTTGCCTGACCGACCCCATGCCCCCATCTGGAACCTGGTTCTAAATGCCTCCCAAACAAATGAAACAGGCAGCGATGGACAACGCAGCAAACTTGCGGGCAAAAGATATCCTCGAGCCTGGGAAGGCCGCCATGGCCCTGTAGAGCACCGAGGACCCCCCCGCCCGAAACGGCAGCCCGAAAGACAGCCAACACCAAAGATAACTGACTGGCCTCCGAGACCGAGACAGCCCCAAGTTCCTCCCGATCCTTCTCGAGGGCTTGGGCTGCGGTGGCAATGCAGTTACGACCCTCGACACCAGCCACGCAAGGGTCGGTCGACATTGCCCATCCCTACTTGGATCGTGGCCCTGGTTGCTAAGTACATAGCGAATTTATATATGCTTATATGTAAGCACTATGTAATGTATGAGTTATGTTTGAGTTACGCATATGTATGTATATGCGCCGTATGTGCATACATGTTCTGGCTATGTGGATGGCGATGTTACATATGTTGATTATCCAGCTTTGAAGTTACTAATGAGTTTATCGCTAACATGCTTAAGCTTGTTGGGGTGGTTACGTATGCAGGTTAGCCGACTTAGGCTATCCAACTTTGTGAACTTAGTAAGTCAAGATATATCCAGGATACAACCTGGTTATTTCCAGGATACAAGCAGGATGGAAACACGATATGTAAGTTCACTTTGTTTTTCTCCCACCGAAGCCGTTTCGGCTCAACCCTTTTCTGTGCGAGGATATGGAGATTGATCCTGAGATCCGTCAGGTGCTAGATACACTTGTGCCTTCGATCAATGCAGCGATTTCAGACGCCACTCACGGTGAGAGAAAACAATGTAGGGCGATTGCAGATCAAGTATGTGACAAATTGCTTAGTAATGGTTTGGCGTATTGGCAAACGGTGTGTCACGAACATGCATGGGCTCACCCTCAAAACCGATGGACGACTGGGGTAGATGTGCCTCACTGCCATGCGTTGGTCAAGAAAATAATGAGACAAGGGTTCTTGGACAGCGAAGTCAAACACCCTCGGTGTTTCGAGCGGGCCCCAGGTGCAGCTGGTCTGCAGCAGCTTGAGTTCAATAAGAAATTGCACGACAGGGCCGAGGGTTATCTCCCGCCAGCGCCGAAAAAAACATGATATGAAGTTCGTCGCAGTGGCATGCAGCCACACTATGTACGGCCTCAAATGCATCAAGGCTGGTTGCAAAACCGACGTTGTGGATATAGCGCTGGACGGGCATATTTCAGAAGAGCGGATCGTTTCTACTTGTGAGAGTTATTCGGTTCCCTTGCAACGTGGAATAAAATTTCTTGTGATCAAATGGGAGGTCGACTCAACGATCCCAGCACTCGCGACGTTCCTTCAGATGTGTGGGAACGCAAGGCACGGTACGGAGAATGAGTTAACACAGGCGGCAACGCTGCTTCAAATCGATGGTATGGTTCGTGCGTCAATTCAGGCTGGGGTGGTGGCTTGAACCCCGACCATTCCACGCGGCGATCGGGTTTCGGTGAATACGCACATGTATAAATCTGCATACATATATATATATATATGCGCATACATGTGTGAAACTCGGTGGTCGGAGGGCCACGCGCATCTGATGCTCGTGGAAGGGGCATGGGTTCAAAGCACCACCCAAGGATGGAAGTTCCGATGTTGATGTGGACAACGTGGTGAACCTGATAGAATTCACCAGGCCAGCCTTGGAAGGCCAAGTTCGATACATGACAATGTTCGTATGTAAACTCCGCGGTGAAGATGGAAACCACATGCGCGACCTAGAGCTCTACTACAGCACTCTGAAAGTTCGGAGAGTTGTGCCGCACAAGCTGTTTGAGATGATAGCTGGTGTATCTTGGGTACAGGGTCAATCGCACCTAGTTGCGATGGTGAAGGCGTTGTGGGCAGCCCCAGAATCATTCGTCAGAGACGGCTTCTCCCGCATGTTGAACTCAACTGATCTGTCAGCTGTGGTTGGCTCCAAAAAATCTGCGTGCACCACTGCTGTGAAGTGGTTCGATGGCATTTGGAAGTGGTTCGAGACGCACGCTCCATCTTTCACCCCAACTCAGAGGGCGCGGCTTCACGGCAATTTTGAAGTCAAGTGTATTATGATTATTCATGGCAAATCCCCGAAGGGCAAGCAGGCCTGGACATTCGATAGCATCCAGCAGGAGTTCCTCACCGAGTGCATCAAGCTTGACAGCGATTTAAAGATGAAGGGGCTCCCGAACAAGTGGACGTACGTTGACGTCGCGACTGAGATCCAGCAGACATCGAGCTAACCATCGGGCCTGGTTCACGTCTCCAGCGGCACCGCCTCGTGTGACCAGCTCGCGCAGCTGGGTTTCGTGAAGGGCGCAGAAGTACAGCAACGAGGTGGTTCGCCAGATGTGTATGTCATTGATGAGGCTGTGGGTCATCACTTTGAATTGCGGAAGAGATCTGGCGCCCCTCCGATCAAGGTTTTACTCAAGGCACCTCAATCGGGGCTTCGAGTGCCAGCAGCCGCCATGCAGGACGAGTGGAAGGCCACCGCTTCTTTTTCTTGTATATGTGTGCGTTGCGGCTGCATATGTGGCAACCTGCACATGCACCACGAGCACTATGTATCCATCTGACATCATACACGTAGCGTACATCATATCACACCAGAGCATGGCATGGCATTGCATAGAACCCAAGCTCACGCCGCACACCTAGCAACGCACAACACGAGACACTTCACCACAACATAAGTACACGACGCTTGGCATATACCTTACAATTCCTTGCAACGCAGCGGCACGTATGTGAACATGTGATGTGATCCCGTGGCACGCTTACCTCCCAGCTCTGAGTTGCCGATGATATCGCATGTGCGTAGGTATGCGAACAACGGCAATACTTGCACCCACACATATTTTATATATATAAGCACACGCGTGCACCCGAAGGTGATACAGCCTCAACATACCGACTTGTCCCCTAGAGCGTGTCACAAAAACACGCCGTTGGCGAGTGAGTGGGAAATCAAACGCACAATGCGAGCCTGGTGTTAATGACTATGCGTATACTTTGCATGGGTGTGGGCTGGACGCCCTCCCGTGCGCGCCGCTCCCAGGTGAATGAGGTGTTCAGGGATTACACGTACGACCCGACGCAAATGCCTTTTCCATTGGAGGGTGGGGGTTGTCATATTTGCATTGAAACGTTCGCGTTGCAATCGAATTGCGATTTCTAGTGCAGGCGTCGTGGATCGTTGGATCTGCGGCGCCGAACACAGAGGTAGGTGTAGTCGCGTTGTTGTTACACATGGTCTGCATGTTTCTTCGTCCACGGGGGTGGCAGGAGCGCAAGGATTTTGCCGCAGACCTCATCAAGTCCAGGGTGAAGGCTGCGCTATATGATGCGTGGGGCATGTATTCCAATTCACAGCATGCGTATGTTCGCACAGTAGTTGGAACGAAGATGCAATCTACAGTGCGCGCTTCTCGACGGTGCGAGAAAGGCGAGCTAGTTATGATCCCCCTCGCGCCCAACATCGGCATGGGGAGCGCAGTCCCCAGTTCAAGTGTGCTTCTGGACCTTACTGCTCCAGATGCTTCAGGCAAGCATGTAAAGCTGTGGCTGAACCCTAAGATTGATGTGGCAAGTGCGAGTGGCAACACGCCCCTCGTGTACACCCAGGCACCATATGTGATCCCTTTTTGGTTTGTGGGTGTAGCCCCAGATAGTAAGATTGCCAACATGGCCAGGTGCGTGGTCCCGATCGTTGCCTC